ATTTTTTTTCTCGGTTTGGTTTCACAAAATCGCAATTTGTATCACTCGTTTCCGTTTCCCTTCGTGGAGAGACAGTGCCTGCCGCCACTGTTCTATGCGCCCCCTTCTTCTTCATCATCGCCATCATCACCTTCTCTACCATCATCATCAACACCACCGCCACCATAACCATCACTATCATAGTCTTCAACGTCACCATCACCATCTTCATATTCTTCATCCTGCGAAAAGCTAGGGTTCCCTCCGTGTCAAAACCCTCCGCTATTCCATGTACGATCACTGAGGAGGGTTTCTGATTTGGATGGCATTGGGAGATTTGATGGCCTCTCGCTTTTCACAATCCACTGTTCTCGTCGTTCCCAGCCAAAACCACCACGACGATTCCACCGCCTCCTCTTCCTCCTCCTCCGTCGCCGTCGTCACAGCCAGTAACAACACTGAAGATGCCGATTTCGCGAACCGCGGCGACTCTGAAGCCGCCATCGCTAGCAGCAGCGGCAATTACACCGGGAATGGCGCCACCAGCATGGCCTACCTGCCGCAGACTGTGGTCCTCTGCGAGCTCCGCCACGAAGCCTTCGAGGCCGCCGTCCCCGCCGGCCCCGCCGACAGCGGCCTAGTCTCCAAGTGGCGACCCAAGGATAGGGTCAGTTCAATCGCTCTGAAAAGTTGGATTCAGTTGTTGTTTGTTAACCTTGTTTGTATTATATGCATTTTGTTATGATGAATCGGTGATTTACGATTTTCGTTAAATAGATATTGGAAAATTGTGAGTAGTGTGTCGTACTGCGTACATAAATTTGGGAAATGTAGAGAAAAAGGGCGTGTAGGTCAATGCAGTGGCAGCATTGGTGAGTGTGAATGGATGGCTTTGTTTTACTATGTTTGTGTATGTGATAATGTTGTTCGGGACTTGTCAAGGACGTAAAATGTTTGACCTGTTAAACATTCAGTCTTGTTAAGACAGGTCTAGATCCTTTGAAGTGCAAAAGTGAAATGCTGAGTGAAAAAGAACCAATGATTAATGAGAAAATCGAGTGAGTTCTGTGATGTTTGTGGGTTTTGATGCGGCTTCTTTCTTTACTACCCAGAGTGCACTGTGTACTTCAGCGGATCTTGAATTTGATCAATTCAAAATAATGATAACGTTATTGTAGTGGACCTAATTGATACTTGCATTGGGGAAATTTCTTCTATTACTTGTGTGCTTGGTGTTTGATGAATTCTTATTTTGCTAAAGATTTGGCTGTAAAAGTGGATGAACTATCCTGGAATTTGCTTGACTGAATTAATGATTTCCTAATGGAGGTGGGGAAGATTGTTTACATGTCTCTTTTTAGGGGACTTGTGTAAATCCTGGTAGCTTGCATTATGAAGTGGCTTGTTTACATTAAATGAAGGTTGCTAGCTTCTTATATTGGTTGAAATTGCTTTACTCTTGACAGAGGTGGATTTTGGTCTAAGTGTACGCATGTAAAATTAAGTATATGATTTTTTATAAGGAGCATTGTTAAATTCCAACCCTTTTTAAAAGTGTGAAATAAGCAGGTCACCTTTTGCGTAGTCTGATTCTTTCAATTTTAAATTGTGTTAGCAGTTTGCCAATGATCTTTAATTATTCCCTTCTTGTTCGTTTTTGGCAACTAGTGCAATTGCATTTTGTTTAAAAAAAAAAGTCGAAGCTTCTTCAACATGAGTAGTTGCTTGACAATAATTTCTAAAGGTATAGATAGCATGTCAATTTTGGATATTTGGCTGGTCCGGCATTGCTATTTTCAATCGTCTTATTACAGCTGTGGATGTAACTTTGGAATGAAGATTGAACGAAGGGGTTGTGCTCTACTCAATAACATATAATTTCTTTCTGCATTTGAAATAAGGCATGACGAAGTGTGAAATGTATAAATGTGGTTTACTTTTTTGATAAGTTTTATACTGTTGGTTCGATACTTTTTTGGGGAGAGGGTCGGGTGGAGCTTATTTTTAAAGATAACATTTCTTCTATTTATATGGATTTCTTGAATAGTAGTCTACCTTTGCAATGGATTTCTGGTGTAAATTATATTGATATTTTAACATTTTTCTTCATAATCAAAATATATTTTTTATCGAATTGTCTGTTTCTTCTCTCAGATGTTTTAAATACTTCTTGAAGATGTTTATGTTATATCTGTTGTAAGATTTATGCTCCATTTTAACTCTAATTTTGTGGTGCAGATGAAGACAGGATGTGTAGCTCTAGTATTATGTTTGAACATTAGTGTGGACCCACCAGATGTAATAAAGATATCTCCTTGTGCTAGAATGGAGTGCTGGATAGGTCTCTTGTTACCTTTCATCTCATTTTATTTAATTGTTTTCTGTAGTTTGTACTCTCAAGTTGTTTCCTGGATTTGATATCTTTTGCATTACTTTTGCTCATTTCATGTTTGGAAATAGCATCGGGCTTCTTAATAATATTATATGACTTGTTTTTGTTATTAACTATTTGTTTTTACAAGTTCGTATTTCTGATGTGTGCTGTTTTGCATTTATATTTTATGGATGAACTCTTTGATTCATTCTTGTCTTCAGCTTTTTATCCAGCCATTAACTTTTTGATCCCACAGCTTTGTTATTTAGAGTTGTTTGCAACTTGTTGATAAAAAAGTAGCTGAATGGGTTGAGTAGAATCTTTGTGTACATCAAAACTTTGGAGGCTTGGACATGATTAGCTCAAACTGTTTTTGATGCTTACCTTGTTCAATACCGCAGACCCATTTTCTATGGCACCACAAAAGGCATTGGAATCAATTGGAAAAACTTTGAGCAGTCAGTATGAAAGATGGCAACCAAAGGTGGGAATGTTTAACTGCTTGTTCTCATGTTATGTTTGAAATTGTTTTGTAGTTAACCTTTTTGGGATCTTTATAGGCTCGCTATAAATGTCAACTTGACCCGACAGTGGATGAGGTGAAGAAACTTTGTACTACTTGTCGGAGATATGCAAAGTCAGAAAGGGTTTTATTCCATTACAATGGGCATGGTGTCCCAAAACCAACAGCTAATGGTGAAATATGGGTCTTCAATAAGGTCAATGTTGTATTTTTAGTTCTTGATGCAAGGTAGTTACTTGATAAATCAGATATTGTTCTCTTCATCCTAGCAATGTAAGCCTAGTTGAAAAAAAGTTGGCGTGGTTGGTTACAAAAATTGCCAGTCAACTTGTTAACTCATCTGAATTTATTTTCCTACACCCTCAAACCTAGTTAACTCATGTAAACACGAGCATACTTGCTCAAACTAGTGTAAAATCATGAGTTTAGAGTTGATTCAGCAAGATAGTTGAACATTAGAAAAAAGCCATAATGACACTGGATTTGTTTGTTTCTAGGTCATATTTTATGCTAAACGCATCTATGGAACAATTTTATGGTTCACTGGTTCTCTCTTGCAAGTTTCTGCCTGTTTTAGGTGCTGATGTTGTGTTCTATTGCAAGAACAAATCTCTCTTGGTGTCTTGCTCAGCTCTGCTCCATTTTGTGTTTCTGATTCTCCTGGACACTTTGCAATCTCACTTCTGTACCATTTTCTTTCCCTTGTTCAGTTTCATATACAGGGCTGGTGCAAACTACAAATTAGTGGGTTGTGTCATTAGGGCTTGATTTTTTTGGTCCTCTCTTGCTATTTTGGACAATTGGACCTCAGTTTAAGACCATCAACTTATTTTTTATGTAAAGCATAGGATCTTATATAATCAACTAGAGAAGGATAAAGGGACAATAATATTGAAAAAGTATAAAAAACTTTAAAAAAGTATGTAATATGATCAACTAATGATAATATTACAGTAAAAAATATAAAAGCGTTATTTATAACATCATATAATATTGAATTATTATGTTATTTGTAAGTTTTTTATTGCTTGAAGTAAAATCTTGCTACTTTGTGAAGCTTTCGTGAGTTTACATAAACTTTGGAGTTTGACTACCTTGTGTGTATAGGTTCTCACCTCTTTAAAAATATGCCGTTACCAATAGAGAAAATAGTATAAAAGATAAAAATGGGAGAATGGAAAATGAATGATTCTGTATGTATGAGACAAAGCCATGAATAGAAGCAAAATAAGGTGGCAAAAGTATGAGAATAAAATGGGTAACAAAGCCATTCACTATTTAGGCATGATGAATATATTGTATTTTACTTATTTTACTTTCATGCCTTTGCTCAGATTTTTGTCAGCAAGTGCAACAAGGGGTATATTAAGTATTCATAAAAAAAGTAAATAAATATAAATGGTATTTATTTTGTACATGAGAAGAGTTCACAATAATCATTTTGTTAGAAAAGGCAAAAGTTTTTACTCCTGACCTTACATCGATCATAAACTGATAAAAGGTTAAAACTAAACTGGAATTGTATCCTATCGCAAATGCCTTATTAGTTTAACTTTTGCTACTAGATATCATGGGTTCCAATTGAGTATAAAGCCCTCAGTTACAATATCATGATGAGAATAACTATAAGGCATTCCTATTCTCATTTTCATCATATGTTATGCAGAGTTATACGCAGTATATCCCATTACCCATCAATGAACTTGATTCTTGGCTGAAGACCCCATCAATTTATGTTTTTGATTGCTCTGCAGCTGGGTTGATTGTGAATTCCTTCATTGAGGTATCCACACAAAACCATGTTATTAAATACTTATAAAAAAAACCCAAATGTATTGCTACTGATTTTGTCTTTTTTGGACTGCCAAATTTGTTACTGGACTTGTTATTGATAAGCTTCATGAGTGGAGTGCTTCCAACTCCACTGTGTCCCAAAGGGATTGCATTCTGCTTGCAGCATGTGAAGCACACGAGACTTTGCCTCAGAGTGCAGAATTCCCTGCTGATGTGTTTACATCATGCCTTACAACGCCTATAAAGATGGCATTACGATGGTGAAACTTCTCATTAATTCCTACTTAGTTTATCTTGTTTAGAATGTTTAATATGAAACATTGACGTAGGTTTAGCATACATTATTATTATTTTTGTTTAAACATTAGCATTATGCATGAATTTTGAATGCATTGTGCATGGAGTTCTAAATAATGAACATTTTTGTTACATGAATTGTTTTACATTACCCTCCCAATCTTTAATCTGATTATACTTTCCTATATGTGACCCTTACTTAACTACTTTTATCTAATAGCATTTCATGATGGCAGATTGTATTCATCATAATCCAGAATCATAAATGTCAGTTTTTATCATACAGTTTCTCCTTAGGAGTATTATTGCGTTTAACTGATTTATTATCTTCAATGTAACTTTTGCAGTACATTAGTTATAGGAGAAAAAAGCCAGTGATAAAAATGTTTATTTTTACTATGAAATTGATTATATGCCCAACATCTACATTTGCATTACTAACTTAACTGTCCTCATTTTCTCTAGCTCCTGAACTTTCAAGTGTTGGCAAGTGACAATTGTATATCTCAGCAAACTGGCTCTTGATACCTTTTGTGTGATGTAAATTTTCTCTAGGTTTTGTACGCGATCATTACTTCGTGAATCACTTGATTATTCACTTATAGACAAGATACCTGGCCGTCCTAATGATCGAAAGACACTTCTAGGTGAATTGAATTGGATCTTTACAGCAGTAACTGATACGATTGCCTGGAATGTTCTTCCCCATGGTGGGTCTCAACCTCATTTTCATTTTCTCTGACTTACTAAGTTGCAACAGTTTCTTTCTAAATTCCAGTTATTTAGCAAGCAATTTTAGTTGGTATTTTTTTATCTTAAATTGATAATTATTTTGTCCTGCAGATCTTTTTCAAAGACTGTTCAGACAGGATTTGCTTGTTGCTAGTCTGTTTCGAAATTTTCTACTTGCTGAGAGAATCATGCGATCTGCAAATTGTTCTCCTGTTTCTCACCCAATGTTACCTCCAACCCACCAGCATCATATGTGGTATTGTTGGTGATTATTGTTATGATATTTTTTTGTGTTGCGAAATTTTTTAGACAGTTTATGTTTTTTCTCCATACTTCAGGGATGCATGGGACATGGCTGCTGAGCTGTGCCTCTCTCAACTTCCATCTTTAGTTGAGGATCCTAATGCTGAATTTCAGGTATCTTGAATTCTGGATTTATTTTTTGTAATAGCTTTAATGTAGAGTTCGTTCTGGTATTGAATATTAACTAGTAACAATTAGCTAAGGTATTCTGATTTGTCAAGGAATAATTGCAATACGAAGGATTATGTATGAGTTTTGAGCTTACCTGACGAAGTATGTTATTGTTCTCTATCAGCCTAGTACATTTTTCACTGAGCAGTTGACAGCATTTGAGGTATGGCTTGACCATGGTTCTGAACATAAGAAACCACCAGAGCAGTTGCCTATAGTTCTTCAGGTGCGATTTATGTTTTTGTCTTTGTTTCTTTTCGAGCCATTGTGTTGCTTTATAATACTCTTGTTAGGTATGTTACTTGATTTTTATGAAATCAACTGTCTGTTCCTGTTCCTTATTAACCTTTTGATGGGTAAGTGTTTCTTATTATTATCCTTATGATAGACATTTGTCTAAATGATGTATTTGTAGTGAGCATCCACTCTCTTAACAATGGGTCTAGCCATATCTAGCTGTAATAGCAATGGACATTTTCTGTTTTGTTCATTCAACATACATTACTCTAATTGTCCTAAAATGTTTTTCTGAAAGTGTGTTATGGTCAATTCTTGTCTCAATTATTTACTATTCATTTATTTAAGGAACTTTCTTGCAATTTGTTTGACTTGGCAATCATCTTCCTATTTCTTGATTCTATGTAGGTTCAGAAATTTCACCCTTGGATCATTTGCAAAATCACCTTTCAATCTTTCTTACACGCTATTGACTTGAATTAGTTTTTCCTTTTTTTCACAATAAGTATACTTTATACTTCTGGGAAAATCGATTGCCAGATGTTTATACCTTTTCCATGCATTGTTCCTGTATCAGGTTTTACTTAGTCAATGCCATCGCTATCGGGCCTTAGTGCTGCTTGGAAGGTTCCTTGATATGGGGCCATGGGCGGTTGATCTGGTAGTTTTTCTCTAGATTCATTAACTATTGTTCCATTTGTTTTACCTATTTATTTATTTATTTATCTGTAAAGGTTTACGAGAACTTAATACCTAGTTTTTAATGTAGGCATTATCTGTTGGAATATTTCCTTATGTTCTAAAGCTATTACAAACAACAACACCAGAACTACGTCAGATCCTTGTATTCATATGGACAAAGATTCTTGCACTTGACAAGGTAGATTCGGTGGAAAATAAATTCTTATGTAAATGTCAATTACATGTTGGTTTTTAGTTATTTTAGAGAAGTAGTTGTTTATTATGGTAGGCATTGAAAAGTATGTGATTTTTTTTTTCAATATTAATTCGACCAAACAGGTGTTAAATCGTGTTGAATTTTGTCTTGGTCAGTGAAGGTTACTTTTACTGTGGTAGTTATTGCAGTATATTCGCTTGCTTTGCATGGTGCTGGATGTGCCAAGAAAAGTTGAATATGAGAACATTTGAAAAAGATATAGTTTTTTTTTTATCCAAAATTAATCTGAACCAAGCATGCATTAAATCAGGTTGAAATTTTGTCTTACTCACTGAAGGTTTTTAATCTAGTATTGCACTATATACATTAGCTTTGCATGGGGCTGGACAAGCCAAGAAAAGTAGAAAGATTGAGGAAGAAGAAGATAAGGAAAATAGGGAAAGAAGCATTTAACCTTTGTTTTGACTAGAAAAGAGGATAAATTAAGGGAGGAGGAAGTTTTAAAAATTTTAATTGAGGGAAAACTTTGGAAGATTTTGGTTTCTTGAAGTTCTTTTTCATGAACTTTATTTGCGCCCTCTAAACCCTATTTTTATCTTCTGCAATAAAACTTTCAAATTTAAATACACGTCATACTTTTTTTTTTTCAAACAAACATATGTATGGCCATAATGCTATTACTCAATCATCCCATATCCTACTTGTTATAACTATAGAATAAGGAACAAAACCTATATAATGAAGAATATATAGATCACACACACACACATATATATATTATTAGGGACGTTATAATATATATCTATATCATGTCTTTATTTTTAGAGGATATATCACGTTCAATATAAATAAAACATCCATGTCTAAAAATCATACCATTTCAGATCAATATTTCTTTCTTTCCTATAGTTTAATATGGTATCTAGAGTCTTTTTCAAAACTATGTTGGCTTGACCCCCTGCCTTAGGATGGTAATTTCTTGGGGAAACCTTTTTCTTAGGTTTGCATGCACTATTCTAGTGCTGCCTCTGATGAGTTTTTGATGACCATCATTAGCTTCAGCAAACATAAGGTTGGGATTGCACTGTGCCTTATAATGATACTTTCTTGGGGAAACCTTTTTCTTAGGTTAGCTTGCACTATTCTAGTGCTGCCTCTGATGAGTTTTGATGACCATCATTTAGCTTTGGCAAACATAAGGTTGGGATTGCGCTGTGCCAACCTATCCAACCATCCTAAAGCCGATGCAAACCACCCATGAACATGCTTAGACGAGCGTCTTATCTCTTGTTCTGACCACAACTCCTGTTGGTGCATGGCAGCATGTGTAGTGGTGCCAGACAGTTGACCAACCTGTGCCCAGGTCACGTCCTTTATGTGCTCCTACCTATAGTAGTGGCAGATCCATTAGAGTTGGTTTGCTGGTCCAGTCTACTTCTTCACCAAGGAAAAAAATGTCTTCCAGCTCCATATCATCATTTAGAACAAATTTTCAGTATCCTTTCTAACCATATTGTTAGTATTGAAAAGATAGATGAGTTTAACTATTCAACTTAGGCTTCCAAAATTGGGTTATGATTAAGTAGGTTGCACAATAAATCCTATCGTACGACAATTCCTGAATTTGTTCCTATAGAACAGTGTAAACAATGGATAAATCCATGCTCAACTATGTAGCGTATTACATCTATAATTCACACTTCGCTTAAACCTATTTTTTTTGTCCCCATGATATGTGCACTTCTATTTGGAGTGAGGATTGTGCTTCCCTTTATAGCAACGACACTCTGCCCATACAAAGTGTGCAAAGAGCCCTATGTCTGTGTTATGCAACTTCATGCTGCCTTACATGATTTTAGCGAGCTCCTTCCCCCATATGCATATTTAAAGAAGGAATTTAAGAATCACAATGTTTATGACCTTAGGCTTGTAAGGTTTGCCACAAGAGTATTTTGGTACACATGATTTGATTTTGGGATCATGATATACCCTACTATGACTTCTACATCATTTCCGGTTCCCCATGTCTTATAAAATAAACATACATACATATTTCACAATGGATATTGTTCAATATATTATATTATTAGATATCCTAGATAGATATCTTATCTTTATCTTTTATTTTTAGTTATTTTGTTATTATTCTTTATTTGTATTTTGGGTTTAGTTCATATTTTTCTTATTATAAATACAGTACCTTAGGTGGATTTTTCTACACAAGGGAGATTAATCCCATATAGTTTTTACTATATTCAATAGACATAACAGTGATAAGTGTTGGAAGCTACATGGGGAACCACATTGTTCAACCAATATTACCCATGCATCTAATGTTGAGCCACCTGTTGCTCCTACACTACCAATTGGTTTATCTTGTATGTCTTTGACAACATATGAAGACTTAATTGAATGGTGAGAGACACCTCAATCTACTAGTAACAATATTTTGGTGGCATATTGGCATTAATCTGCTTGTCCATATCAATCTCCAGTATTCGGGTCATTGACACTAGTGTAAATGTTCATATATCTGATAACCGTTTTTTTTCTTATCCTTTACAACTACGGCCAATTTTCCTTTTATAACTACTAGCAATGGTTCACAAACACAAGCTTGCAGCATGGGTAATATCCAACCCCTCTCATCCATTGCTAACATTGTTCTTTGTGTTCCTAAATTCCCTTTTAGTTTACTTTCACTGAAATCGAAATCCCATGACATCATCTTCACTTTCACTAAAATTAATGTTACCTTGTAAGGCCAAATATTTGGCATGATGATTGGCGTTAGATATACGAGTCATGTCATTTAAGAAAACATGTTTGTTGGTTGTTTCATGATAGTCCCATTAAACAAGATTCATCTCATTTTTTTCTAGTTCATCTTGTATTGTTGTTCCTTTTGGTTCTAANGTGAAGTTGTGATGATGCCATGTTCAACTCCCTTAGCACACCCCTCTGAAAGTCTTTGAGTGAGATTTGAATGTACATCTTGTTGAACAGAAAGTTGAACATGATAAAGAAGTCATCATGATTGTCTCCCTTCCCTTGGAACACCCGTTCGTTCCCCTTGTACACCATCAACTTATGAAGGAGCCATCCCCAAAAGCCTTTAAGATGCAACTTTGTTCGGCCCAATACTCTAGTTGGTTCTTCATGTGGAAGAATGTCAAGAAATCACCTATTTCGTGGGACGCCCATTCATAACTAGAGATAATGGGGAGAGTTTGGACAAGCTCCACACCCTGATTGGTTGCATCGATCTCCACGCCACCAAAAATGAAACTTTTAACCCCAAATCAAGTGGTCTTATTATCATCTATGTTGACATTGCTATCAACTAGACCCTCATCCCACTTGGTTAACCCAAAGATAGACGAAGAAATAGATCTCGACACCAATGAAGATGAGGCATCATCATCCCCGATCGCCCCTCCCCAAAAACTCCTCAGACAAATACAAGTTAACAATTGATATTATTACATGAAGGAAAGAATACCGCTCGGTAGGTAGAGAAGGTTGAAGAGAATGATGAAAATGACAGGGAAGACCCACCCCTATTTATAACCAACCACCTCCTACCCTCGAGCGATATCCGTCGTTAAATAAAGTGAGATCCCACGACCCAAATCATGCAACCCTATGCATTCTGCCAAGCGCGAATCAAGAAGTGTTTCAGGCCTCTTTTCCAACGATCATTTTCTACAAAAGGACGAACGATCTTAAACGCCACTAATACACACTAGATCAAGTACTTGTGGTCGCCCATTTTCACAAACCCCTTTGCCAATTATTCCAAGCTTGGGCTTGAGGGGCCTGTGTGTCGTATGAATGTCTGATCAGTGGTTGACTGTGTGGTCAACTTCCTAACATTTTTAGTTAGCTTCCAAAATTCGAACGATCTTTATTGGAGAGTCAGTCACCGATCAATAAGTCACCTAATGGTTGACCAGGGATGCAAATTAAATACGTTTATAGGTAAAACATGTTTATCAACTATTGGGACGTGATTATGTCGATGTTAATTAATAGCCTATTCCGAAACTTATAAATACAAGTTTAAAGTAAAAAAAGTACATAATCATATTTATTACACGGTTGAGAATTGACTTTGATAATCAAACAATCATCTACTAATTTAAGTATTAAAGTGTCCTTCCATGCTATGAAGAAGTATTTGAGTAAAGACTTAGATTGCTAAACAATGAAATGTTATTTAGATTTTAATGTTAAAGACAATTGACATCTATCCACTACCGAAATAACATATAATTGTAATAAGAGGTTTTATCCTATTTTTACATTACATTGAAATTGTTCCATCTTCTTGTATTATAGCATACATGACCAAATTCCAACGGCTTTCTCCCACTGTATTTGTATTACATTACACATGTATCATCACCAAATTCAAAATATATCACCGATTTAAAGAATAACCTTAATAAAGTAGAAATAATAAAAAGTATTTTAAAAATGAAATGTCAGATAACTTGATACAAACATATATATATATATATATATATATATATATATATATATTATTTTTTTTTAACTTTTTATAACAGCCATCAGTGTTACATTAATTTGTAAAATGCTGATAAATCACACCATATTTTTCCGTGATTCTAATTGTAATGCTCCCACATCCAATTATTTTTCTATTATCATCATTAGTGACGTTAGGCTTATGTAATAAAATATTACAATATAGTTAACTGTTGTTTTTAAAATAAAGGGAAGAATAGGCTGTCTCATGCAAATTTTCAATTTATTTTTTTTCCCGTTCCAAAAAAGAAAAGTTTATTAAATTCCCCCAATATTTTTTTTCTCGGTTTGGTTTCACAAAATCGCAATTTGTATCACTCGTTTCCGTTTCCCTTCGTGGAGAGACAGTGCCTGCCGCCACTGTTCTATGCGCCCCCTTCTTCTTCATCATCGCCATCATCACCTTCTCTACCATCATCATCAACACCACCGCCACCATAACCATCACTATCATAGTCTTCAACGTCACCATCACCATCTTCATATTCTTCATCCTGCGAAAAGCTAGGGTTCCCTCCGTGTCAAAACCCTCCGCTATTCCATGTACGATCACTGAGGAGGGTTTCTGATTTGGATGGCATTGGGAGATTTGATGGCCTCTCGCTTTTCACAATCCACTGTTCTCGTCGTTCCCAGCCAAAACCACCACGACGATTCCACCGCCTCCTCTTCCTCCTCCTCCGT